TACCCAAGAATTTCTGAGTGCCAATGAAAGAAGACATCCCTGGAGGGAGTGCTCATTGGTGAGATACCACAGCGGCTGGAAGGCCACAGTGGTGAGTGAGGCAGAGGGGAACAAGGGGGCATTTCAGTGTGGTGTCAGGAAAGGGAGCTGTGGGGGCACACCAGAGCTCTCATCTCTCCGTGGGCTGTCTCAGGGCAGGTAGCAATCTCTGCTGTTTCCCTCCTCCTGTTCAGGGTGTTCTCCAGGGAGAGGAAGAGATATTGAAGGATTTGGCAAAGGAGAAGGGCACTCTGGAGCACATGCACACTTGTTTTGATCAGAGGAACATCAGTTCCAGGCCTGCTTTAAAAAAAACAAACTTTTTACAAACTTCTTAAATCATGTCTTTTTTTTGGCTGCAAATATTTTATTTTGGGCAATCTGTTGAAAAGCTTACACAAGATAAGCAGTTTTTATTCTCTAACATTTTTTTTTTTAGAACATTTGCAGCTACAGTCAACTGCTCCCAAAACAGACAAACCAACTTCAGATTTGAAAACCTATCATTGTTCATTTAAAGCATAGTTTACTTGGGTAACACCTTACAAGTCCAGGCTTATGGCCCTAGACACAGTTTTTGTTAGGTAAGTTGCCTAAATGTCAAGGCTATCATTTTGACCTTGTAGACTTACGTTGCGAAGTTGTCCTTCCCGTTGTCTTACTTTTGCTGGAGTGAGAATGAGCAGGCTCTAACTGAGAATGGGAATGGCTCTTGAGGGAGTAACTGAGAGAGTCATGTCAAGTGTGCGAAAGTACTAAGAAGCACCCTCTGTTGCCTAACCTAAAGATGCAATTCTAAAATCAGGAAGTCAGATAATATTTCGTCCCTCCAGGCCTTCCACACATAAAGGCAGAATAACTCCAAAACTCTTCAGTCAGAAAATATCAAGGATTTTTATCAGGAAGGATGGAACATCCAAAGCCAGTGTTGCAAAGCCAGTGGAAATAACCAGACATATGATGTATAGTCTAATGGGGAGTGTCTCATACCTTAATCCCAGTAACAAAGATGATCAATATTTGCCCAATTACCAAGTAGAGTGAATGGCTTTGGTCCCAAAGGTTTTGTTACTAGGCTCACATGCCACAAATCCATGTGGAATAGCTCATGTGAGCTATATAAAGTTGAGCAGGACACAGGGAACTGATATAAAAGACACCCATGAAAGTTAAAGAAGAACATAAGCTCTGATCTGTCTTTAGTTAGAAGAAAACTATCAAAATTAGTAATAAAGGCAATATAATTAAAATGGATCCACGTGTCTTTCTCCAACCTTTCTTTTTAAACTTTTGGTATATCTTTTGTCACTTCTTAGCCTTCTAAACTGAAAATAATGTATTTTTGTTCTTTTCTAGAAAGCCCCAAGACACATTCTGTGTTGTTGAACAGCTTCTGAGCACAGTCCCTGAAGTTACAACGAATGTCTTGACAGACATGCTGATGAAGGGAGACCTTGGCAAGGTCAGTTAATTTACTTGGGCCTCTTCTCAATTTATCTTCTCCAAGATCACATCTTCTCTTTCGTACAGATATTTGGTTCCTACTGGAGTCTTGGAGAATGACAAAAGGCCGGCTTCAATGCAGGTGCAATTTAAATATTTTTCTAAAAAGCCATAGCAGGTTGTAATTCTGAGCTCCTCTAAGAACTGAGAACAGAAAATTTGTCAGAACAAAGAAAAAAGAATCCACCTAAACAGAGTAAATTCTGAATGTCTTTGTCCTACTGGGGAGTTGTTGGTGATGAGCAAACTTTCTAGAAAGTTGAACAAAATTGGAGTTCTGACAAGTGTCCTCAGAAACTAGGAAGTACAAGTCTTGGCAATACAACACTTGGCATTTTCAAACTTTGGGAATATTTGGAAAACTCATAAACACAAAGAAAATGAAAGAGGTTTTAAGAAGTGAGTAACATGAGAATATGCAAGAGGAGAAATCCTTTGCCAGCAACACATAAGCAAATCATTTGGTAAGTTATGATACTCTAATATGGTTTCAGACATTTTGGAACATGGGTCAATTGTTTCAGACCATCAGGGCTCTAGTCAGGCAATTCTTCCTTCTAGAGATTTAATGTCTAGAGAGAACAAATACTTTTCTGGAAATGCTGAATATACACAGACAAAGAACTGGTCACCCTAGTACTAACTGCTGGGCTAAACAACTTCTTAAGAGATAAATCCTCTGGGAAGATGATGACTCAGAGATAGCTCCTAATGGGAAAATTTGGCCATGTGCTGGTCTGAGCTGTTAGTCTCTGCCATGATCTAGTTAGATCTTACAAAGAGGTAATCTGAAGGGGAAGTTCCTTTTGTGAAACTGAATCCTAGAGCCCAGAACTCCAGGTAGTGGAGCCCAAGGTGAGAGCTTTGCAGATGTATAAGGGAACCTAAGATCTGCACCAACTGTGAGAGAGTAGAACATTAAATGACCAATTACCTATAAATCCATGATTATGATGCTGCATACAGAAAGTTCTCCTAGAAATATCTGGCCAGTACATTTTTATAATCAGATCAGTTATACAAGAAGTATGCTTTTTTAAATCTACTGGAGTCCAATTCAAGTACGTAATTTTTCTTTCATTGGAACATTGGGTTTAGGAGTATTTCAGAAGAGTACTACTTTTTAGTTTAATGTTGACCAAAGTGGGTTCTGCAGAACTGGTTTTCCCAGATAACAGTTACAACACGAAAAGAAGTGCACCATGCTCAAATAAGTTAGAGAAACCCCCAAACAAACAATATTAAAGAAAAATCTCGTTTACATGAATTTTTGGAATATTTACTAGGCTAACATAGATTTTGAACTTCTAAGAGGTGGTTATAGAATGCAGCATTCTCCAATGGGACTGTTTTTTGGAAGAATGGTTATTAATATCTTAGTAACTATTTTTCCATGGACCAGAATATGGAAACCCTGAGAGAGTGTAATCTCTCCTCTGCCAATGGAATAACTTTTTTTTAAACTAAATCTTTTCAAAGATGGATTCACTTTAATCCAATTTTATACGTGATTTTTTAAATCAATTTTGACTGAAAACAGTTAAATTACAAAGCCCTTTAATTAATGGTTCAATGTTTCTGTCTTTGTTGTTGGACAATTAAGTATTTTCTCCACACAATACTGAAAAATTAAGATAGACTATTTCTCTACTTTACCTTCTTTATCTTTGTTCTATTTTTGTTTGTTTTAAATTTGAAAGACCCATTCCTTTTGCACAGAAGTTGGAATTTTTCTAGAATTTACAACAGATCTTGATTTGTATTGTTAGATAAAACGAGGTAATTATACAATTGGAGAACTAATTTCTGAAAGATCTATGATAATCATCAGGTAAGTCAAATCACAAATGACTCAAACAGGCAAGTCTTCAATTTTTATCTCATTTTCCACCCTTTATTAAGGGAGAACGGGTTTAGCCAATTGGCAAGACAATTTCTGGACCTGTCACTTTTTTATTGGGGCAACTTAATTTTATTAAAGTTACTCAAGATTTTAAATATTGAAACAATGCCAGATTTTGAATGTCAAACCCACAATCTGATGTGAAGAAGCAATCCTTGTATTCCAGCTTATATGCTATCCAAAAGGGGGCTCATTTTCAGGTCTCTCTCAACATGTACAAAATGTAGGAATTTCCTCTCTATTCTGTGCTGTTAAATAGATCATATTTTATAAATACTCTCTCTATATCCAATGCTTTCTGAGATCATATGAATATGTTTTGAAAATCCATTCACTCAACATTTAGCAAATTATATCTTACTTGAACCAGATCACAGGTAGCAATGGCATGATGCCATTTGAAAAACAAACTATAATATTTTAACGTTGAGTAACAATCATTAATACAAATTAAATTGGCAATATCCTTGTGTCAGAGGGGAAAAATGGGTAAGCACTTTTTAATCCACCTTGTTGTCCTCACTTCTTTAAAAACAAGACAGATTCCTCTTGGCCTACACAGGATAATTTCCAAAACAAAAACCAATTATTTACTTAGTAAGGAAGCAGGGAGAAACCCTGAAGTTGCCCATTCAAAGTAATACTTTGTCTCTAGTACTTGGATAGACAGCATCAGAGCTGCTAGATGCTTCCTTTGGCAACACTTCAGTCTTCAGACAGCTATCATGTTTTAAGCGGCCTCTTAGTTGTATTAACATCATGTTATGCATGGATCACCCTGGTTTGTGTTGGCATCTGAGAAGAACTTATCCAGAGAGCTCTTGAACATCTGAATTCTTGATCTTAGTTATGAGGTGAATAGTACCCCATGAGCATACTACATAATAATTATATGCTCTTTCATTTCCTATTAACCCATTAGTAGCAACTGATGGAAGAAATATCAAGTTGTCATTAAATGGATTGTTTTCATTCTTACCACCTACCTTCATTTTACAGGTACAACTAGTGGCCTACCAGCTCCTGGAGAAACCAAGGGCTTGGTTACAGTAAACTGGTCCAGTGTGATATCACAAGTATAAAAAATATTCCATTCTGTATCAAAACTAGGCACATGCCTTTATTTATAGTAACAGAAGTTAACAGAGTTGAGCAGTTTTTGCCTTGGGTCCTATTTCTTGGCACCCTACATCAGACAAATGCATCTTTCAACACATCTCCACCCACAACTCCGGGGATCTGGTCTCAGGGTTATCTGATGTAAAGGAAGGTGAAATCACACTTGGATCTATAGTGGTGAGTAACTAAAAGCACAACCTCTCATTCATATTGCTTTAAAACATATACAGCATATATGTTTCAAAAAAAAAGGAAGAGTAAAGAATATATTGATTTCTTTGTGGTGTTGAACCAACAATATGGTATGATGCAAGGACTTAATAAAGGGTAATCATAGATACAAATTTTTCGGTAGAGTATATTTTAGACAAATGTGTCTTTTGAATATGTAAATCCTACATTGTAGGTTGTTCCTCTTAATTTTTTCTTTTGTTTCTGCAGTGGTAGAAAATGTTGAATAACTGTCCAGGAGCGTGAGCCAAGGTTCAGGTTCCTTACTGAGATCCCCAGAATGCCAATATTTGCAATGCAAACAATTAGTATCCCACTGTGTGAAGGGCCTTGACACCAGCCTGCCTGCCTCTAGGTGGAGCATCTCCGTTAAGCAGTCCTCCTGCTTCCACAGACCCTGCTCTGACACAGGGGCAGCTGCACTCAGCTGCCTTTCAACCTAGTAATTGACTGCGCCAGGTTGTCCTGCTGGTTACGGACAAGGACACAGACACAAGTGTGAGTGGCAGACCCTCAGATCATTTTCATGTTGAACCGCCTGGGTCCAGCCACCTCCCCTTCCACAACAGCACCATTGTTTTTTCGGGGCACGTACTCAAGGTCAATGCTGTTTTTGTGCTTGCCTTTCCCTCGGCTCCATACAAAAAGGAGGAGAAAACAAAATAAAACCACACCCAGGAATGTGAAACAGCCCATGGCTGTAGACACCAGTATTGTTTTCAGGTCCAGGGAAAAGGTATTGGCGTTGGTGCCATTGGACAGGGTGTCATTGGAGTCGGTCATGTACATAGGGGTCCTGTTGGCATAAAGGAAGCGGTCTGAAGTGAATCCTTTCACAGTCAGGGAGGCTGTGTAGGTGTCGTTCCCAGCAGCGTTGCTGGCAATGCAAACGTACATCCCGCTGTCTTGGTCCTGGGCAAAGCGGATTTCCAAGGTGCCGTCACCCAACACGGTAGCTCTGCCATTGGACTTGGCGGTGATAAAACGCCTTCGTGGCGTCACCCAGGAAATCACAGGCTGAGGGTCCCCGTCCGCACTGCATTCTAACTGGACCATCTGCCCTTCCTCCACTAGCAGGTGCTGCAACTTCTTCTCACGGATTTTGGGTTTTTTGCAGGTAAAGTAAAAAGAGAGGGCAGTGCTGTGGAAATCCTGGAAGGACCGCTCACGGATGGTGTCTGGGCCAGCACACATGGGCTGCTGGCCGCCAAACTGCAGGGTGGGGTGCCGCTGCAGGATCCAGAGGAGGCGGCAGTCGCAGGCCAGGGGGTTGTTGTTAATGCTCAGGACCTCCAAAGCCCTAGGGGAGGAGAAGGCATTCTCTTCCAAAGTTTCCAGTAGGTTCTGAGACACATTGAGCACGCGAAGGAAGCGGAGCCCTTGGAAGGAGTGTGGCTCAATGGTACGGAGCTGGGCCCCCACTATGTGAAGCTCCTGAAGGCGGATCAGGTCAGAGAACATCCCTGCTTCGATGGTGCTGATGGGGTTGTAGGAGAGGTTAAGGTGGGTCAGGTAGACCAGGTGTTTAAAGGCCAGGAAGGGCACGGTGGACAGGTTGGTATTGGTGATCGAGAGGGAGGTGAGGTTGAGACCATACAGGCTATTGGCAGGCATCATATCCAGTAAAGGCCAATAGTCAATCTCCAGGTGCTTCAGGTGGAACAATCTTTTAAAGGCATACACAGGCATAGTGTTGATATTGAGATGCTTCAGATGCAGGCTCACGAGGCTGTGGAGGTGGGAGAGGGCTTCTGTTGGTACCGCGGTGAGGTTGCACTTCTCCAGGGTGAGCTGCTCCAAGCTAAGCAGCCCACTGAAGGCCCTGTGTGATATATAAACCAGATCATTGTCCCCCACCTCCAGGGACTTCAGGTTATGCAGATCCTGGAACATGTAGTCCAGTAAGATGACAATCTTATTCTCGCTGATGTCCAGCTTGGTGAGGTTGGACAGCCCCGTGAATACCCCCAATGGGACCAACTTCAGGCGATTGCCTTTCAGGCGGAGGGAACGCAGGTTGAAGAGACTGTTAAACGCTCCTGGCTCCACATTGGCGATGATGTTGTCACTCAGGTCTATCTCCTCGAGGAGAGGATATGATAGGAATTCTTCAGGGTTGACGCTTTTCAGTCTGTTCTTGCTGAGGTCCAAGATTTTGGTCTCGATGGGGATGCCCTCTGGGATGGCGATCAGTCGCCTCCTGTGGCAGCTAACAGATTTGTTCTGGGCGGAGCACTCACAGCGAGCAGGGCAGCCGATGGTGGACCCCATGAAGATGAACACCACAGCCAGACCCAGGAACGGCTGCCAACATGATATGGCCGGGTGAAGCATGACTCCACCTCTTAGTCTACGCCTTGGTCACGGGCCTGCAGGGGAAGGGGCAGAAGAGAAAAGAAAAGGTGAGTCAGCACACGGAAAGGTAAAGGGAAACAAAAAGGCAGAAGTACAGTGGAAAGGACGCAGGGTTTGGCATCACGTAGATCTGAACTGAAATCTGAGAGCCTCCAACATTAGCAGCATGATCTCGGATAAGCTTCTCACCTCCCTGCAATCCGGTTTTCTTGGCTAAAACATGGAGGTAATGGTGGCAATAGTAGCTTCCTACAGTTAGGACAATTACAGTGTTTGAAAACTATTAGAGACTATACACTGTCCTGCATAGACTGTGAGGCAGAACCACATATATTTTCTAAAAGGCTCTATTTTGAACTCAAACAACTAAAGCAGGGAGTGACTAAGAGAAAACGGGTTCAGTGTGAATCAGTGTCTGCACCTCTCCTGTTTGGGATGTTGTCCTGTGTTCGAAAAGATGCCAACAGAAGCTCCATACACACCAGGCCACAGGGTCAAAGACAAAACAAAATCTACATCCTGGGTAAGAGCTTGAGACTTTCCTTTACATATAGAATGTGTTCTTTAACCTTTAAAAAAAGAACTTTTAATTAGAAAGTATACTTCTTTCAGAATTCAGTAACTTTGATGTATGAAAGGATTTCCTTTCTTGAGATAAACAAAAAGATCCTCAAAATCTCTGTGAATTCTTTGTGTTTGTCATCAGGACAAGGCACCAACATAGGGATGGTGATGAAAATGTTTTCTTAAGTTCTGAGGTTCAATACTGAAGAGTGGGAAGAGTCATCATTTTAAGAAAAATGTTTTTAAATAATAAATGAGCTATCATTCTTTCATATTCAAGTTCAAATCCAGTGAACCTGTAAACTGAACTCAAAGAGATATCAAATGAGCTCAGAAGTGAGCATGCTTTAACTGCAGATTCTTAAACAGACATGAGTAACAGGAGGTGTGTTGTTGAGCTGTGCTTTTCAGCCTGGGGTCCCCGGGGTACACTTAACCCATAAACACCTTACCTCAGGTGTGACAATTCTAAAGCAATATTTTTAGATAAAAAAGTATTTGATAAGCTTCAGTGTCTACTCCTGAATTGTAAAAGAACAATTAATAAAAGTACAGGTCTCCAATCACAATGTTTACATATATGTCTCTGTCTATGTGCAGGTATATCTCTCTACGTCTAAACAAATTGTCCATAAATAAAAACCAGGGTCAACCTGAATGGTGAATAACTAGAAAAATGTTGCCAAAATGTAGAAACAAGGTAAAGATGCAGAAAGTGCTAGCAAAATCAATTAGATGAGAACTAGAGGTCTGTTGCACGAAGAAATTCATGCAATAGGCCTTCCCTTCTCCTGGCTGCCAGCACCGGTTTTCCTCCGGCACCTGGGACCCAGGTCTTCGCTCTGGCCAAAGCCGCCTTCCGTCATCCATCTTCACAGATCCAGCTCGCCTTTAGTCTGCTGTTTGGAGCCTACATGTGCAAATTAACCGCCACCTTTGTTGGTGGTTAATTTGCATATTGTGCTGATTAGCCCCTGGGAGGCATAGTGAAGGTACAGTCAATTACCCTGTTTTCTATTATTCGATAGGATATGAGTTCTAATTATTGAAAAAGATGTGATAAAACTATTGTTTGTAGATCAAATTAATGTCTGCCTTGAAAACTAAAGAAAATTAATTTAAAAATTCTAACAAATAGGAAAATTAAGTAAATCAACATGTTACAAAAATTTTTTTTTCACATTATTATAGAACAGAAAATATTATTGTGAAAAATAATTCCAGTCACAGAATCTCTGGGGAAAAAAAATCACACAATTTCCTTAGAATTAACAAGAAATACACAGAACTAATCCAAGCTTACCAAAGGAGGATATACTATATATTTTAATAGAAAGATTTGATATTAGATAGACATACATCTAACAAAGATTACTTTTTGGACTTGAAAAATTCGAAAGTTTATTTTGAAGAATATAAATATGAGAATAATTAGAAGCTATTAAAATGGTAATAAAAACAGACTTACCCTATAAGATATTTAAATATAACTTCTAAAACTATAATAAAGCAGCATGATAGTGATACAAAAATATACAGTGAATGAGACAGAAACATCAGGAATTACATCAAAATATATTTGAGAAGTCAGTGTATGTGAAAGGTGGCACTTTAATTCAGTGAGAAAAATAAAATTATTGGCTATAGTTGGCTAGATATTGAGTGGAAAAAGTGCACATAAACTTCACTAAAATAAATTCCAGGTAAATTTAGAATAAAAATACAAGAAGAAAGCTTAATAATTTTATAATAATAGAGTTGAAATGCATTTTCTATAACTAAACTAGAAATCATGAAAAAAACCCACCTGTTCAATTTTATGCATTTAAAAAATAACAGATGAGGAAATAACACACACAAAGGCAACCTAACTGAACTAAAGAATACATTTTAGATTCATAATAGATTAAAGATAGTATTAAATAAACATCTTAATAAG